AGTAGCAAAGACCCAATTGATGGGCACTGTTGCAAATATCAATACAACATAACGCAGATGCTACAGAGCATCCAAAGCAGTTTCAAGTTGTGTGGAAACCCCGTTATGTAACAAAACTGGCGCAGGTGCGGCGTCTGCCCTGCTGGGCCTTCAATATCGTGTTAAACAAAAAGCCTTGGCCAGTTCAGCCATTAAAAACCCCCAGTAATTATGGCATACTGAACAAAATATTATTATAAAGCAGCATATCAGAAGTCAGCAATTAGCTTGACAAACAGGAGTACAAGCTTCTTTGGCTCAGTTGGTAGAGCGTAGGTCTCATAATCCTAAGGTCGTGAGTTCGATCCTCACAGGAAGCATTACTTTTGCCCTTTTTGCCGCCATCTGGAAAATTGTAAGGTAGGATTTTTGGGCGGCTGCAATTCGTTTTTCCCACTCGCACAGCTATTATGCCATCGTAGTGCATGGGCGTTGCTCTTCTCGCTGCACATCCGCCACATGTCTTTTTTAAAGTGCTTTTGGTGTTGTTGCTGCGTACTCCTCTGTTCGTTAACTAGTGTTTATTAACAAGAAAAATAAAATAAAACTAGCTACATAATAAAAATTTCTATGCATACAGTGCTGATACAACAACCGTCCTACCTTACAATTTTCCAGATGGCGGCAAAAAGGGCAAAAGTAATGCTTCCTGTGAGGATCGAACTCACGACCTTAGGATTATGAGACCTACGCTCTACCAACTGAGCCAAAGAAGCTTGTACTCCTGTTTGTCAAGCTAATTGCTGACTTCTGATATGCTGCTTTATAATAATATTTTGTTCAGTATGCCATAATTACTGGGGGTTTTTAATGGCTGAACTGGCCAAGGCTTTTTGTTTAACACGATATTGAAGGCCCAGCAGGGCAGACGCCGCACCTGCGCCAGTTTTGTTACATAACGGGGTTTCCACACAACTTGAAACTGCTTTGGATGCTCTGTAGCATCTGCGTTATGTTGTATTGATATTTGCAACAGTGCCCATCAATTGGGTCTTTGCTACTTATACCCGCGTCTGTAGTTTGCTGCTTGTTTAAGCTCATTAGACCCAATACCACAAAATAACATTGTCACTGGGAATACCTTCAATATACTATTGTATTCCTACCAATTCTACATACAAACAATATAACTGCCGTTTGGTCTCCGAACAAAGAATGCAACAAAGTTATGGTTGGTGAGCGCACAATGCGTCCCTTGGATGCTTGCTCCCCGAGACGCTTCAGCACATGAAGACGCCATTCTATGCCGTCACTCGCATAAAACACAACAGCTAGGATCCTTTTTTAAAAAAAAAACAGACATGACAATGACCCTCCAAAAGCCAGATGCAAGAAGTAGTGCAAACATCAATTAATATGTGCGGACACTGCAGCGGGCTCGCTTATGTTATTATTAACAATTCTCCAAACAAAAAGGCATGTCACAGATACATCCCGTATCTATGGGTTATACTTATATTTGGGTTGTTGTACAAAGCATAACTTTTTGACATCAAGACACTTCAAGTAATAAATGTCTATTTAGTATTAGTTAGCTTTTTCAATTGATTCCCGTATGGTGCTATGCACACAAAATACTCGCACAATGCACACTTCCAATCTTGGTTGCTCAAAACAATATCATTCTATGTTGATTGTGATATATTATTTACGAGACAGAAGCAGTTACGCTAAACAAGTTTTAAAAGCAATTAAATAGTGGCATGACCAAACAAATAAGAAACTGACTCTCCGTTGTGAGTACGACGAATAGCCTCAGCAAGCACAGCGCTGACATCAATGGTGTCAAGCTTGGGGCACAGCTTCTTCTTCTCGGCATGAGGGATAGTGTTAGTAACGACAACGCGGGTGAGCAAGCTGTTGTTAATGACATCGAGGGCCTTTCCCGAAAGCACGCCATGAATTACAATGGCATAGACGGCAGAAGCACCGTTTTCCATCAGCGTCTTTGCAGCCAAACCGAGGGTGCCGCAGGTATCGGCCATGTCGTCGACAAGAATGGCGACCTTATCCTTGACATCACCGACAAGAACCATTCGCGAGACCTCGTTGGCCTTCTTGCGCTCCTTGTGGATCAGAGCAAAATCCAGGTCAAGGTAGTCAGCGATCGACGTAGCGCGTTTGGCACCGCCAGCATCAGGAGAAACAATGATGGCGTTCTTCCAGTCGGGAATGTTCTCGCGAATATACCGCAGAACCGAGGGCTCGCCATACAGGTTATCAACAGGACGGTCGAAGAAGCCTTGGATCTGGCTGGCGTGAAGATCCATCGTGATAACGTGGTCGGCACCGGCGACAGTCAGCATGTTGGCTACCAGCTTGGCGGAAATGGGCGCGCGCGACTTGTCCTTCTTGTCTTGGCGCGCGTACGGGAAGCACGGGAGAACGGCGGTGATCCGGCGGGCCGAGGCTGTTTTGCATGCGTTGATCATAATAAGCAGCTCCATCAGGTGGTCGTTAATCTCACCACATCCAGATTGAATAATGAAAACGTCCTCATCGCGCACGGACTCGCCAATGGTGACTGCGGTCTCCTGATTCGAGTACTTTGAAACTGTGACGTTGGCCAGATCGGTACCGAGGCGCCTAGAGCATACAAGAAAAGGGGAACACAAAATCAATGGGCGTGAGTTTTTTAGAATGAGTGGGTGTAGCTAGTTGTCAGCAAATAGTGCCCAGAGCGGGATTAAGCGCTGGAAACGCAATACAAATACAGATAAAACCGGGGTAAAGCGGCCCATCTTTTCGCACACCCTTCTTTTTTTTGCTACTTTTTTTGCACAAATAAAAAGTAGCAAGGGGTGCATGCGTGCCATTGTTCGACGTATAGCTGGTATGCGCATGTGTTTTATGTTGCGTGTTGAGACATGTTTGCTTACTTTGCAATGAGCTTGGCCAGAGCTGGGTGCGAGTTGCCTGCGAGAATGCGGATAGAGTTGCTCGACATTTCTGTAGTCTGTTTGTGAGTGCTATGAATTCAATGGTGAAAAAAGAGAGATAGTGGGTGGTGGTGGAATGCAGCTGACGAATTGGACAAAGAAGAGAGAAGCCAAGTAAAAAAACTCCAAAAAGAGGCCCGAGTGAATGTGACTAGAAAAGTTTATATTTTCTCTTGTTACAGAAAAAAAAGCGAGATAATGGATGGTGCTGATAAAGTGACGGTGATTTGATCTTAGTAGCGGACGAACCAATATGGATACAGAAAAAACTGCTCGTTGTGTGTAGCAAATAGTAAAAAAAGAGTATAAAAAGGTACAGCAGCAGTCACATTATACGTTCAGCGAAGACAAGAAGCAAGAGGAGGACAACAGAATACCAAAGTGCCACTCACTGACGGGCTATCCAGCATGAAGACAAATTTTTTACCACGGTTTTTTTTGATCGCTAAATTTAGTTTTATCGCATAAAAATCACAATCTGCTCGGTGATATTGCCCGCCGGATGTTGCCAAGAGATTAGCACGGAAAATGAATAGTGGTGTGGCTGGGTCAACTGGTATTTTAATCGACAAAAATCCAACACATTTTTTTGCTGGCACGTTCAATTTTGAAAAGGATTTGAACTGCTGGCAGTATCCCGAGCCTACGGGATGTGATGTATCGGCAGTGTTAAAAAATTTTATTTTTGGGGAAAGGTGCACGGGTGGGTCCAAGAGATAACAGTCGCCGCCGGCCAATTGGATGGCACGTGGGGGATAACATGATGGGCTGTGGGTTGCCAGTCGAAATTGCAAGTGTTCAAAAAGGAACAGCTAAATTTAATTTGGAACCCAAAACATAATTTTTACGCCGATCGATTGAATCACGCTTGCGCAAAAATTAACCTTACGACAACTGCGCTTTTTTTTCTTGTTTGCGGCGGCAAAGCCATTCCGAAAAGCACATGGTGAGCAGCTCGCCAGTTTGAAATTTGGTGTTGGAGGCTGCTAGCAAATGTTTCTTTTCAAGTTCCATTAGAAAAAACAAACAAATAAATGAAGAGGTGCAGCAGGGAAGCGAGTGCGCTGGTTTTCTTCTGACGAGGGACACGCTTATTTGAATAGAGTCGACTGGTATCTGGTTACAGGCATTCTACTTCTGTTTTTGGGCAATCGCCCTTAAGTACAACGCGTGGTTTTCTAAAAACAGAGTTGTGCTTGGCTGTTCACCCATGGAAAGTATATGTTTTGGTTATTCTGGTACTGGTGCAAAATAATGACATGCTCAATGTCAGTTAATCCGACACATGTCTTGGCTAATTTTATATTTTCTGATATACCTCGCTACTTGCGCTACCATTATTTGCGGCGTTTATTCTTAGAGTCTTCCTTGACATTGGGAGAAATAAGAAAGTGCGTCCAAAAGATTGGGCACAACGGGCCGCCCTGTTATTATGATTTTATTTTTATTTTGCGCAAAAAGAAAAAGCAAAAGCAAACTAACTGATTTTTAAAAATTATTATTTCTGCAACACCAGCCATGTGGTCAAACGTTGCATTTCCATTCCTTTGGACGTTTCCAGCGCTTTTTTGGCAAGGTGCAGATAAGGTCAGAAAGCATGATGTGGACCAAACGATACTGCATTGAGACCGAAAAGCCCGCACTATTCTGATACTCTGACATCATGCTTTGTATGAATACAAGGGCCAAAGCATGCGCGGCCTCCCCAAAATCGAGTCAAGCGTGGACATGCGAACGAACTGAGGGATTTTCCATAGAATGCTTCTGAGATTGAGACTGGACAAGTGAGTGTTTATGCCTTTGTTTGCGCACAGTAGATTATTTATTTTTATTTCTTTGTTTTGAGTGAGGGAAAAAAATGCACTATGAAAATGTGAGAAACACATCTTTGCTTTTCCCATCTCTTTTCTTCTTTCCTCCTTGCCTATTATATTTATCACCTTTATCCGTATTAGCACCCACCGTCACCTATCCGCCCTTTAATCCCTCCTTCTAATTTACACCGAAAAGAGTAGCCGGACTATGAGAATCTCCCTTTTCGCGACTGCCAGTATTGGCGCGCTGTGCGCGGCCACAACAGCACTCGCCATCGACCCCATCATCATCAAGGGCAGCAAGTTCTTCAACGAGAAGACGGGCGAGCAGTTCTACTTCAAGGGTATCGCCTACCAGCCGCGTACGGGCCTCAAGGGCGACAACCCCGACCCCCTTGCCGATACCGTCGGCTGCAAGCGCGACGTTGAGCTGTTCAAGGACCTGGGCATCAACTCCATCCGCGTCTACGAAGTTGACTACAACAAGAACCATGATACGTGCATGAAGCTGCTCTCCGACGCCGGAATCTACCTGTTGCTTGACATGCCGTCACCAAAGTACTCGATCAACCGTCTTGACCCCTACTGGGACCACGACACGATGGGCCACTGGGCAGCCAAGGTCGATGCCTTCTCCAAGTATGACAATCTGGCTGCCTGGATTGCCGGAAACGAGGTGGCCAACGACAAGGACACCACGTCGTCGGCTGCGTTCGTGAAGGCTGCCGTTCGCGACATGAAGGCATACTTGAAGGCCAAGGGACTGAAGACCCCTGTCGGCTACGCCGACAATGACGACATGGACATCCGCATGAATCTGATCAACTACTTTAACTGTGGGAGCGAGGAGACCCGCGTTGACTTCTATGGGATTAACATCTACCGCTGGTGTGGCGACGAGACTGACTTCAAGACCTCTGGCTTCGCAGACGTTACCAAGAACATGACCGATTACAAGATCCCGTCGCTGTTGACCGAGTTTGGCTGCAACAAGATACGCCCTCGCACCTTCCCCGACGTCAAGTCGCTGTACGGATCCGACATGAACAGCGTTTTCTCGGGTGGCATTATGTACGAGTTTACCGAAGAAGACAACGAGTACGGTATTGTCAAGGTGTCCTACGGCAGCTCCAAGGTTGAGAAGACCGAGGACTATGACAACCTGAAGAAAGTCTACGCCGGTCTCTCGACCAAGGGCGTTAAGATGTCTGACTACAAGCCCGGAGGCAAGGACAGTGTCTGCCCCAAGGTCAGCGACATATGGGAAGTAAAGTCTGATGTGCTCCCTCCCACCCCGTCGGCTGCCCGCTGCAAGTGCATGATGGACTCTCTGGGCTGCACGCTCAAGAGCACCGAGCTGTCCACCACCGAGGGCAAGGTTCTCGGCGAGGCTATCGGAAACATCTGCGGTCTGACCAGCTGTAACGAGATCTCCTCCAACACGAGCAAGGGCGGTTATGGTAACTATGTCGCGTGCTCGGCTGTTGAGCGCTCCGCATGGGCTATCAACCAGAATTACATTAACACTCGGTACTTGCAGTGCACAATTGATGGCGTCGAGACTACCACCATCAAGTCGCCCAAGCAGAGCGACACCGATGTATGCCTCACCCAGAAGGACGATATGGGCAATATTGCCGCGCCCCTGACTCCTTATGATGATGATACTATTGACTCCAGCTCTGATGAGGATGACTCTGATAGCAAGAGCGGTTCGTCGAGCTCCAGCAAGAAGTCCTCGTCCTCATCCTCTTCGGCCTCCGCCAACGCCAAGCCCCTCTTTGGTCTGACCCAGCTGGTTGCCGCGTCCAGTGCCATCGCAGTGATGCTTTCTGCCTTCTAATAGCCAGTTTACGCCTCATTTCTTTGAATCAAAACACCCAACACCACATTTATAAGCCATTGTTATTATTATTACTTGTATCGTTTCGGGTCTGCTGTTATTATTTGTTTTGACCAAGAAAAATAATAAAAGAGGGTCATAGACGGAGATCACCATCCCATTTCAAGCAGTCTGTAGATTTTAAATGCCCCTTTTGAAGTCGAGCCACCCGCCACGAGCCTTTGCTTCCCATTTTTGACCACTGCATAGCATATTATAGCACATCATACCACTCACAAACCCAACAGCAAATCTTTCGCCTCTGTTTTTCTTCTCTTTTGTTTGCCGTTTGGTTTTTTAATAGAATTTTTTTATTTTATTTTTTTTACCGCATTCCGGCCATAATTCAGTGGACCTTTTCCCGCCTCTTTGGTTTGTACTGGCGACAATAAAATACGACCATGACGATGCACAACAAACAGGCAGTCATCGCCATGATCGAGCAGGCATCCTCCCAGGACCCGACGCAAGTGGCCCAGGCCGAGCAAAGTCTCGGTAGGTGGGAAACAAAACCAATGTTCTACACTACACTATTTGTAAGTGCACCTTACTCTGTGAAGAGTCCGAGCCAGCAGAAAAAGAAAGCACACCACAGGCACAATCGTACATAGTCTTACCAAGCGTATTTTACCAAGTGTTTTTTCATACTCGTATAGGATATTTTCGCCGATCGATCGTTGCCCATGCAAGTGCGCTGGCTGGCCATCATCAACCTAAAGAATGGTGTCGAAAAGTATTGGAAAAAGACTGCGCAGCACGCCATCCAAATTGAAGAAAAGGAGCTAGTGCGCCCGCGCCTTCTCGATGTTTTGGATGAAGAAAACCCGCAGATTGCTGTGCAGTACTGTGTGACCATATCGCGCATCGCACGCTGGGAGTTTCCGAGAGTGTGGCCAGAGTTTATCGATGTGCTGATGGCCCGAATCAAGCACATTGCTGTTGACAGCGGATCGGCCGCCCGCGGCTATGTGACAGAGCATAATGCACTATACACGCTACATCTATTCATCAAGACGCTGTGCCAGCGGACACTGGCAGCCGAGCGGCAGGCGTTCAGGCGACTCACACCGATGGTGCTCTGCATTGTGGCGCCGATCTATGCCGAACGTATCAGACAGTTTAACGAAGTTTTGCGGGCGGGCAACAGTAGGGAATTGCACGCGTTGTTAAAGTCTATCAGACTGTGCATCAAGACACTGCGCCGGCTGCTGGTATTCGGGTATGAGAAGATCGAGGAGGCGGACCCTGCCGCACAGGAATTCTATATGGCGACTGCTGGGCACCAGGCTGCGTTTTACAAACTATTTGCCGACCTGTCAGCCGAACACCGCGACTCTGCCGATGGCCTGGTGCTGCGGAAGATTGTGTTGCTATACGGCAAGCTGTACTTGGAGTTCCAAAAATACCATGCCTTGCGCTTTATTACCATGAGCTGCGTCAAACCGATGTTAGCATGGTACTGGGCACAGATCCAAAGCGAGGCGCCCAAAATGATCTCGTCGCCTACCGATCCTGACAGCACACAGGAGCTGACCCTCGAGCCATTGCTGATCCAGGGCCTGGAGCTATACAAGAATGTGGTCAAAAATTTTTTCTATGTCATTGATGAAGGCGTCGAAGACAAGGATAGCGCGGTCAAGCGCTGCAGGCAGGTCATAGACAATGATATCCTGGTGCCTGCGTTTATCACCCAGATGGCCGTGACGCTGATCAACTTTTATATTCCGCTCAAGGCCAAGGATCTGGAAAAGTGGGAGGACGACCCCGAAGTGTGGCTGGTCGAGGAGGACTCGGACTACTGGGCGTTTGACGTGCGCCGTAGCGCAGAGCGTCTGTTTGTAGATATCGTCGACCAGAATCGCTCGTTGATGGTACCAGAGCTCGTCAATATGCTTCAGCAGGGCGTTATTGTGGCAAACACGGATGCCGCCTTTTACCAACGCGAGGGATTGTACTCAGCACTTGGCTTGTGCGCCAACCAGATTTACGACGGGATAGACTTTTGCCAGTGGCTCAAGGAGCATCCAGTGATCGATTCGCCCATGGGCGTGGTCAAGTGGCGTATTGCCTGGCTCATTGGAAAGTGGGTTCCTGTCAAGCTCCCCGTTGAAGAGCGCGGGTACGCATACTCGGTCTTGCTGCAGCTGGCCCAGCGCGGCGAGCCGCTGATTGTGCGGATGGAGGCGCTGGGCAGCCTTCTGCTCTGCGTCGATGACTGGGACTTTAACGCAGAGCAATTTGCCCCGTATTTGGAGGCCAGCATCGAGAGTATCACCAGTGTCCTGGGGGATGTTAACATGGCCGAGAGCCGGATGCGGATCGTCAACTTCTTGAGCACCCTGGTATGCCGCATGCAGCGCGAAATTGTGCCGTTTGCTGAGAACATCGTCAAGCTGATTCCGCCACTGTGGCAGAGCGCCGCGCAAGAGAATCTGTACCAGACCACGATACTGAGCCTAGTCACCAAGCTGGTCGAGGCACTTGGCGCGCAGTCTGTGGTTCTGCAGCAGTTTATCGCGCCCCTGGTCCAGCACAGCATTGATCTGAACGATCCGGCGCACGTGTATCTGATCGAGGATGGCTTGGAGCTGTGGCTGGCACTTGTGCGCAACGCGTCTGCCTTGGATCCCAGCATAATGGCGCTGCTGCAAAATATTCCTAGTCTTCTGCAGTATGGTACAGAGACACTCAGAAAGATTCTAAAGATCATCGAGAGCTACGTGCTGATCGACGGTGCTGGGATATTTGCAGAAAGCGGCCTGATGCTTCTCTGCGCGCTTAACGACCTAGTTTCTGACAATAAATTGGCGGCTCGCGCCATAGCTGCTGGTTACACGACGCTGCATGTCATTGTGCAGTGCGTACCCATGGAGGCCTGCGCGCAGCCACTGACACAGTCGAATCTTTTGTGGACTGCGTTTACGCGTATCGTGGACAAAAGGGAAACCGCGCAGCTATTGATATACCATGCTGTGTTTATGTCGAGATTGGCCGTCCATTATCCTGCTCTGTTTGGCGAGTTTTTGGCTTCCCAGGACGCTTCTCTGAGCAGCACGTTTACTGAAAACTGGATCGATCTGTACGACGATGTTGGCCAGATCACTCAACGCCGACTCTATGCTATCAGCCTGGCTGTAGCCATCGCGACCACCAATGACGGTATTTTGAAGAATCTGCCGTCAATGGTGCCAATCTGGAACGACATTATTTCCGACACTGGCTCGTCGTTGGTGTACTTTTCAGACGTCGACGACGATATGCCGGAAGGCTATGGTGAGGTCATGGTGGCCGAGAACCAAAGGCGCCAGAAGATGTTATCCAGCGATCCCGCGCACAAATTCGATATCAAGGAGGTTTTGGCTCAGAGCATAGCAGAGTGTGAACGGCTGAACGGCCCCGAGAGGTTTCAAGCAATTGTCGCACAGATTGATGTGGTCGACCTGGAAGACCTGAAGAATCAGCTCAGCTGATTGCATTGGTTAACAACAAAACTTTCTTCCATGAAAAAATAGCAATATGCGTCTGTCCAATTTCGTTTTTTTCGTAGTGTTGTGTTCACGTGATAATATTGCATAAAGCGATAAATACTTGCAAAAATGTCGAGTTTTGCACAAGCGTTTTTAGGGTGCATGCATTTAATATTTCCTTGTCTTTATCAAAATATACACACCTTATTTTTCACTCACAAAAATACGATTCTATTGATCCACGCACACATCGCAAAAAAATTACACACACGCCAAATGAACACATACGGAGAAAAGTACGAGTCCCGGCAGAACGCAACGCGGGATGGCGATGCGCACGGTGTGCCAGCCAACAGCGGCAGTCGCAAGCGACCTCGTAGCGACGACGGAGAGGTAGACATTGACGACGGTGAGATTAAAGACGACGGTGACATTCTCGGTGATGAAGAAGAAGAGGATGACGATGAGCAGGTTCCGTCCAAGGGCGAGGAAAAAACGGCAGCAATGGAGCAACAACAAGGTCTGATTCGTTTCGAAGTGGTGTACAATGACAGCCAGGACGAGTCGATGCGGCGGCTGACAGAGCTGAAGAATATCTTCCAGAAGCAATTGCCCAAAATGCCAAAGGAGTATATCGCCAGACTAGTATATGACAGAAACCACTCGAGCTTGGCTATCGTCAAGGCGAACGGCCATGTGGTTGGTGGCATTACATTCAGGCTTTTTGAGCAGAGGGAGTTTGCGGAGATTGTTTTTTGTGCCGTGTCGTCATCAGAGCAAGTGAAGGTAGGCATAATTGCATTAATTACAGCGATCGACTTGCCGTGATATTTGAATTATTGTACATAATATCTAAATCGCATTTCAAGTTTATAATTGCTTTTGTAGGGATACGGCTCGTTCCTCATGAACAATTTGAAGGATTATATCTCGGCCAACACTCAGGCCAGTCACTTCTTAACTTATGCCGACAACTACGCCATTGGGTATTTTCAAAAGCAGGCAAGTCTATAAACTATTCTATGCCATTATTAATTGTATGCAACATGATCCTTTTGTGTTTTATGTCTCGCTAATACAAAAATCAATGTTTTATTTGTTTATGCGGGTAAAATAACAATTAAATGACATGTGCAATAGGGATTTACCAAGGAGGTCACATTCGATAAGCGCTTGTGGATGGGATATATAAAGGACTATGAGGGCGGCACACTGATGCAGGTATGTTTTTGCTTATTGAAAACAATGACCCCTTTGGGTTTGTGATTCGAATTTTATTGTTTTGTCAAATTTGCCTATTTTTTATATTCCCCGGCGCATGTTGAATATGCTGCAAAATTTGTGTACATGCATATGAGTGCAGGCATTGCATCGATATGTATACTGGCATGTAGGTATAACAACTTTGTGCCTGGGAAAATTATTTATTTTGCAGAATTTAATTGACCAATGTCAATATTTTTGTGTCTGCACCCGCCCTGGGCAGCCTGCCTGTTATCGTAGGGGGTGTGCTGCGTGATTGATCCTTTGCTCGAATAAATAAATTCTCCGCTGAAATCCTAGGTGCGACCTTGAAAAACACCACAATGAATATGAATTTGCCTGAACGAAAGAGTGTGGTTTAGTTTTGCCGTTGTCACATCGTCTGCCTGGCTCTTTAGTTGTTGGCATCAACCAAACTTTATTTTGTGAATTCTACCCTGTCGCATTCATTCTTTTCCATATTGGCAGATATAGAATAATTGTGAGTGTCTATCCAAAATGTCTAACATCAAATTTCAAATATTTATTTTACGCTTATGTAGTGCTCGATGGTTCCAAAGGTCGAGTACCTGAAGGTCAAGGATATTTTAGCCAAGCAGCGCGAGGTACGTGATTTTTGTTTACTTATCTCTGTTTTATGCAAAATAGCTGGGTGGAAATATTGCTTGATTATCAACAGAATGTTTACAAACGTTACAAACTTTGGGTTATTTGCTTATTCTGCCTGTGTTCCAAATTGCAGAAACTGCGTGAATCGCACGCCATATCTACATATTTGCGCAATATTGCAATTCTTGTCGCCAGTTTTGTTATCTCCACCTTTGACGCTCTGTTGCAAAATTTGTTTGTGCTTTCTGTCCCTTTAAGCAGGAAGGAAATTACATTACTGAGATATGAACGAAAATCCAAGAAATAACAAAACCAAATGAGCCAATCACCAAAAGATGGAAAATTCAAAATTCAAAACAATTTTTTCCTAGTTCCATCATCTGATATTTTGCATTCTGTAAATTTATAATACAAAGTGCTAAAAATTGTCATGATATATTTTGCAAGGCGCCTGCATGCATATATGCGACTTCCATTGTATGCTATATACGCACACCGTTTTATTTCCAATTATTGCACAATTGCATCTGTGCTCTTGCACAATTGTATTTCTTGCTATTGCTGCGCATTCTCACGAATTCGCAATGCATTTCGGGATAGAATAAAGACACACCACAAGGCAACTAACGCGTCTGCATCCTTGAAATTCATAATACCCTGTCGATTATTCCAGGAGCATACCATCTCAGCCAACCTGTTTTCCGAGGCAACCCTATTTGGTTATTGTTTGTGATCATAACTGCGTAAATATTTTCATGTTGGTACGGCCAATACTGTATATTGTTCGGCTATATTTTATTCCACCCTTGTCAAATTCACAATTCTAAAAGTGCTGAGCTAATCACAACTAATTTTCTTTGTCTTTGTTTTTGTAAACAACATTATTCATTTGCGATGTACAACATGCAAATTAATACGCATTACGAGTCGAGTATAGGCTGTGCTAGAGAAAATACGAGCTAAGACTAGATCACAGATTGTCTATCCTGGGTTGACATGCTTCAAAGACAACCCTGAGATTTCGGCAGTTGACCCGTTCAGCATTCCTGGCGTTGGTAAGTTGTTGTTTTATTGCACTGGCAATTTGGCGGGCACACTATTATGTTGATGCCTATGCTATCATTATTTTTTATATCTTGTGGCGTGGGGGCGGCGATATCTTTTTTCTTTGCTTTTCCGCTTTTCCTGATTTTTCTCTTTGACAGTGCGGACACACCACAAGGGCTCGGCGCATATTTGTGCACATGAGCTCATCTGCCTTATTTTTTTAAGCACTGTCAGGATCGTGTTTTTTCTTGGCTCTCACTCCATTGCCGCATCCGCTTCAGTTGTTTATTTCTGCAGTCGGCAAGCT